TTAACACATACACGACATGAGTTTTGCTCTCAAGATTTTGGGGTACAGTTTCTCTGAATCCCCTACACCTATCTTCTTGAAACACGGCACGCATAATGCCCTCAGAAGGGGCTACCATTCCTGCAACTTTCATCTAAATCGGGCCAGAAATGACACAGTTATAGCCTGTTTCAACCTTCCCCTATGGGCAAAATGTCAAAACGACAAATGGTTTTGATGGAACGAAACGGAACAAAAGTCTAAATGAAACACTGTTCTGTTGAAACATCAAAACACTGGTTCAAATGAAACTTCTGTTTCACACAGCCCTAGCTTCTAGGTATTATACTCAGTGTGAGCTCATAGAGGCTGTTGGGATGGAGAAAGGAGGTTGAGTAATTGAGATAGGGGTAACTGAGAATGAGGAAGGGTGAGCAATGGGAGGAGTGGTGAGGTAAGTGGAGAACTTTTGGCACGAAAAGCAAGAGATGAGATAAGCAGGATCAGAAGAGGGGAGAAGTATAAAAATCACTTGTTTATGTAGCTCCACAGTCCTAGTTGACCATCTCCATTTTGCTGGCCTCTAGGAGATAGTGGTGTATGACTGCATGGCATCTTGCAGGGAACAGGGCTTTGTTTTACATTTCTAGCTGCTGGAGTATCAGCTTGCTGGACTTTGCTGCCCTGTAGGGAGGCATTTTGGCACAGCAGGATTTTCCAACAATGTCACTTTAAAAAAGTGGAGGTGGTGACTTCAGTTTCCTAAGAAGAAACCAAAGGCTGTCCTGATCCCTGGTGATCTCACTGGTCTACTCTCATGCCAAGATAACACAAATTTGTTATTATTTGTAAATAATTATTCAGTTAGTCATATGTTTCATTTACTCCCCAGTGCAAAGAGAGACGGAAAGACATTTAATAATGCATGTACACAACTGCCATATATGTTTTTCTGATCAATAGTTGACTCTTATTAAGAGCAATTTGGCATTAAGTGTTCTATTAAATCCCCTATTGGCTCCCTTCCCATCCAGCCATTACTGTGAGTTGTTTTACTGTTTCAGAAGTTATTAACGTATAAACTTGGAGCTGAAGCCATAACCCAGATAAAATATTTAATCCCAGTCACTTGTTCCTGGTATTGCGTTCCTCCATGAAGGTACATAGTTATGTTCTACATGGACATAAACTTGGTGTAAAACAAAAGAGGTATTTGGCATCATCAGGCTATTAAAAAAACAATTTTCTGCTTGTGGCTTCGCTTTTGGATCTTCCTCACCTACCCTGACACAGAAATGGGACAAAAACCTCATAAAATCTTTGTATCTTTGCTGCCTGACAGGTTTCCTACTTTTTATAAAGGCATCTCTCTTAAATTTTGACTAATCATTATCTAATTATGTAGTATCCTGAGTATTCTTTTTTTCATATGCTGCTTGAATGATGGTTTTTGTTAATTTTTTCAGATGCACTGTAAATGAATGTTGAAGGGGTAGAATTTTATGTCGGCTTAGGATGCAGGGATCTAGGTGTCCTTTCTAAATGAAATTAGTATCATCTAAGTGGCTAAGCACTTCTGCAAGGAGTTGCATATTCTAGCGTAGTGGCCTCCAACCATTTTATGGTGAAGATCACTTTTTGGAAGTAAAGGGCACCCCAGGATCTACCCCACCCCCTGCCCTGCCCCATGCACCCCTGGACTGCAGAGTGCCCCAGACCCAGTTGGACTGGGCTGGGGCCCTATCCCACTTCTGTGCTGCAGCTGCAATGAGTTGTGCCTACCTGGCGGCCAGACTAACATGGCATTGTGCCCTGGTCTGGGACTCTTCATGATCCAGGGGTGCACGGGGAGTGTGGGGGTGGGCTCCTGCTGCTGGGAACAGCCTGATGGAGGCCCCAGGGGCCCATGCCCCCCGACCTGTGCTTGGGACAAGACAGTTGCTACTGTGGGTGGCCCGCTGTGCCCCGAGCATGGATGGGGGGGCACAGGCCCCCAGGGCCTCCACCAGGCTGCACTTAGCAGTGGGAGCCCCCTCATCCACCCCTGGATGACCAGATCTTCCCAGACCTGCCTGGGCAAGGGCCGTCCTCACATGAGTTCCCACTGCTGAGCTGAGTTGCGCCTGCATGTGGTCAGCTGCAGCTGCCTCTGTCCTTGCAGAGATGGGGAGGGAGTGCCCCCGCCCCCACCCTTCCCATGCCCCTGGAGGAGCCTCTGGGCTCCAATCCTCCCACCACCAGGCCGGGCTGTGGCCCTACTTACCTTCCCCTCCTTCTGGCTGTGCTGCAGGTCAGTTGCTCACTGCTGGGACCTTGATCTGGCCCCCTCCCCTTCCCACTCCCATAAATTGACCTGCTGGGGCTGGGGGAGGTGGGTGTACACATGCTCATGTGCCCAGCTATCCCCCCAGCCCAGGATCTACCTATCAATTGGGATTCTTGGGTTGGTGACCACTGTTTTAGCATTTTATCTTTTCTGTTTATTCAGCTACCCACTACAATTCTTAGGTAATTGTTATATCCCACACTTCCAGTTCAGACAACATACAATATTTCTCTGAAGTTTCAGTGCATCTGGGCAGGAAATGCTTGGATCTGATCCTTCACTGTTGATCTCCTCCCTTCAGCTTCACTCACCCTGTCTGAAATTCCCTTCAATGGAAGGGGGACAATCAGCTGAATACTGACTGTTTATTTCTATTGTCTGCATCTACTTGTTCTAGCAGGGCCTCATAAACACAGTGATCAGTTTGGTTGTTGGTTGTGTGGTTGTTCAGTTTTCCTTGTCTTTTGGCTACTTGTAGAAGCTGCAGCAGCCGGACAGTTGCCCACTGCTATTTAACACATGATAAGGCATAGCTATTCCTTTGGTTGAGGAGAAATCAGCCCTGGAGTGTGAGTGGAAGTGGGTATTAGTGGATGGTTGTTTTTGCACGGTGCCTTAGGCTACTTCTTCAGGATTCTGGTTATTGCTGCTTGTTGGTTTCCAAAACCAAATGAATCCCTATGCTTCTGATTCCTTCTCTGGTGGGCCCGTTTGTCGGTTTGCGGCTGGAGCCTGAGGCACAGAAAGGTTGTGTCCTAGCCAAGCACTAGGGTTGCCAACTCTGTTTGAATATATTTCGGGACTTTTCACCACGTGATGTAATGACATTAATGACTTGACATCAGGAAGGCAAATGCACATTACTATTACATTTAAAAAACCCACTGGACAACAGTATAAATCAGATTCAACATTTAATATTTATTTTAATGAATGCCTTATCATTTATCTCCCAGGTGACTCTCAGCAGTCTCCTGGAAATTTCTCTCTAATTAGCCAATTGCCTGTCAAGAACAATGCCCACCCCCACACACACCCAGGGACGGAGCCCTAGCCCCCACCCCCTATCTGGGCCTGCTCCCCCTTCTCTCCTGGTGTTTGGGGTCTAGGTCCACTCCCTGCTTCCCTTCTGCAGCGGCAGGAGGAAGGAAGGAGTGGGCCCAGGCCCAATGTGAGGGAGGACCAGGCCCAAGGGGGTGGAGAAGCTGGGGCATCATGCCAGGGGCGGAGCAGCGGGCCTGTGCCAACCTGGTGGTGGCGGAGTATGGGAGGAGTGGGCTTGGGGCCAAGGTGAGGGAGTGCCGGGGGGGGAGTGCGGGTGAGTGGGAGTGGGCCTGAGGGGCAAGGAAGCTCACCCCTTCCCCCTGCAGCTGCCGTACTGGGCTGAGCTGGGCTTGGCCGGGCCGCTGTGCCCACCCACTGGTGCAGCAGGATGGCTTTTCCCATGGCTCAGGCTTACACCCCCAACCCCACAGTTGGACCTGGGCCCACCATCACCACAGCCACCACTGCACACCCGTTCCTCCCTGCCTGGTGGGGCCTGCTTGGGGACAGGAGGAGTGGGCTTGGAGCTGAGGCAGGGGAGTGCGTGGTGGAGAAGTGGGCCCTGGCCCAAGGAGGCCCACTCCTTCCCTCCCCCAGCCGCTGCCATGGCCACGTTGGCCCAGGCCAGCTGTTCTCTCTTCCCCCTGTCACGGTGGGCCAGCTTTTCCCCACTCGGGGCCCTGTGCATTGGGCCCGGACACGCTCCCCTTCCCCCGCGTTGGCCCTGGGCCCACTCTGTGTTACCTGCAGGGTGGGGGGCGAGGCCAGTTGTGCTTACCTCTTCAGTCCATCCCCTGTGTCCCCCACCATCATGGCAGTGGGCTGCCTTCTGTCAGAACGCTTCTTCGCGCGCTGATTGACTGCCAATCAGAGCGCAAATAAAGAGTTACGGACAGACAGACGGCCAGATTTAGGCTTTAATATTAGACTAGCCAATTGGCCGTCAGGAATGATGTGGGGGAGGGGCCTGGGATGGCGAGCCGCCACCGAACCCCCCATGCTGCCGCTGTTCTGCCTCTTGCAGGGAGCGGGATGCGCACCCCACGCTACCGCAGCTCCCCACCTCTGCCCAGTCTTCGGTTCAGCTTCGGAATCATGGCGGCGCTCCCCCAAGCTTGGAGCACTTTGATTGGCTGACTGAAACAGCCAATCAGAGCGCGAATAAAGCATTAGTGACAGGCAGAGAGACCTAGACTTTTAGAATACTCCTGGAGACACCTGGGCAACCCTGGAGGGCTGGCAACCTTAGCAGGGCTGTGGCGTGGCTCTGGGGAAGCCAAGAGCAGAACCTAGGGTTCCTGATTCGCACATGCTTGCTTCAGTCACTGGCATTAAGCTAAAGTCTGTCTGCCTTATGAAGACGGCGCCGTGCCAGTCTGGGATGCCAGAGTGCTGCCCCAGGGAAGGGTGACGGAACGGATGGGAATGGCGCCCAAGGCCGTGTGACAGGCTGGTTGGGGTGAGGCCTCTGGGGCCCTGGCTGGGGCCCTTCTGCTCAGAGCAGCGGCAGGGAAGGAGGGCAGGGCTGTGGGCAAGATGCCGGCCTCGGGCCACAGCAGCTCTGCCCGGCTCAGCAGGGCCAGGGGGCGGAGCCTGGCGCGCGGGCGCGGCAGACACGCCGGAACTCTTCGGTTGGGAGGCGGGAGCCGCCCGCGCCCTGACCTGAGCCCTCGGTTGCTAGGAGACGAGGGAGCGAGCGGTGCCCCCGTGAAAGCGGCCCGGGCGGCCGCGCGCGGGGATGATGCTGGACCAGGACAGCGGGCTCTCCCTCGTCATCGCGCACATCGTGCAGAGACTCAAGGGCTCCAGCCTCCACTCCCAGCTGGAGCGACAGGCGCGGGTGAGCTCCCGCCCGATGCAGGCGGGGCTCGGGGGGACCCCCGGCCGCGTCCAGGTGCAGGGGCCGCTGCGGCTGGGCCCGTCTTGCTCGGAGCGTATGAAATGAGGCCTCCGCTGCTTGCTGCGGGACCAGGGCCCAGTGCTCCCCGCTGGTTCCCGGGGTCTGCCGCTGCCCGGTCCTCGCAGGCTGGGGTTGGGGTGGGGGTGAGATCCTTTTGTATCTGCCCCATTGCTAATAACCAATTGTTCTGCTTCCCGCTGGTTGCTTTCTGGCCTCTTCCCCATCCGTTTTCTTTAAACACGGCCTCATTTTGAGCAGGGCGTTGGACTAGGCCTGTCCGGGTCCCTTCCCACCCTCGACTCGTTGGGCACTTGCTTAAAGGGGTGGGGCAGGGGGGGCAGTACAAAAAAGGGAGCTACCTGTGAATTCTTGCTGCCCATCCTGCTCCTGTTTGGTTTCTACACTGTGTTTTCCCTTGTGGGTTTTGCTGAAGGGGCTAGCACTAAGGCCCCATGTAAGAGGTGGACACTAGGTCTTAGTGTCTGGTTGGGTCTTGGGGTCACTGGGTTCTGAGCACAGTTTATTTTCAATTAGGATTTGCTTCTGTTTTAAATTCAGTTTCGGATTTAATTGAATTGTATTTGTGATATGTAGGCTATTGGCATTATGCCCTTTCTGACTTGAATATAGGGGTACAGGTTGTAGCCGTGTTGATCTAAGGACATAAGCAGACAAGGTTGTTTGGGGAAATCTTTGATATTTTATTAGACCAACTCAAATAGTTGGAAAAAAAATTCTTAGCAAGCTTTTAGGTTTAAAAACCCTTCATCAGGCTGAGGAAGCATCTGCAGTTGGTGTGTGCTCTTCCTGGATGGAAGGAATGGTAGAGGAGCCAGAGGCTGGTATGCAGGCAAGATGGACAGTAAATGAAGATGGGTTTAAATCTGCAGTTGGTGCATGGGCAACTGGTGCCTCCTAATACTGGGAGGGTGCCAGTGGCTGATCGCTGACCGGGAGGTGGGGGATCCCTCAGTGGCCAGTTGGGGTTAGGGGAGCTGGGAGCAGAGGGGGAAAAAAAAATTGAGTGGGTGGGGGCTGAGCACATGCAAAAGTCATCGGGGAAGGGGTGGGGGGAGGGGTAAGGACCCATGTGTAGGAGGGAGTGAGGCTAGTGCTGGCACTTTCCTCTCACCAGGGGTCATTGCCCGGTGCCGGCGTCCACTGTCCCCTAGCCCTACACTACTGGGCAGCCTCCCCACACTGCCTGGGAGAGCTCGGAGCTGGAGTGAGGCCAGCCTTGGCTGTACCTCTACCACGGAGGAGGCAGAGTCCCTGGGACCCCCACCCCACTCCAGCTAAGTTGTCCCCAGTGGCTTCTGCGGAGTCGTGGCTCTGGGGAGACAAGGGGGACAGAGCCCCTCCCCCGATCTTGCGCGGGGCAAGGGAGGGCTGCAGTTGCGAGGCAAGCTGGGTTCTGCCTGCTTCATGCCTTACTGCAGCTTTTGAAAGTGGTGCAGCACAGCGCCACGTGCCTTGCTTCACACACATGGTGCCATGCTGCTTTCAAAGGCTACAGCGAGGTGCAGGAGACACAGGGCTCCAATTGCCCCATTACCCAGCCTGGCCAGGACCCCATTCATGATGAATGGGGCCCTGGCTGGGCCGGGTTGAGAGACAGTCCCCACAGTGCAGCAGGGAGTGGGGCAGGGGCGAATTATTCACCCCTGTCCCAATCCCTATCCCTCCTGCCCTGTGGGGGTCTTGATTTCCACCTCCTCTGCTTCCAAAGAAGAAACCCTACCTACTTGCTTGTGCTTGCTGTGCTGTGCTGAGCTGGCTGCAAGGCCAGCTGCAAGCCCGGTGTGCCCCTCCCCCTGCTGCAGAAGCCTGCATCCGGGTTGCCCAGCAGCAAATCCAGAAGTGCCGCCGGCATTTCAGGCAGGGCACAGCCAATCTTGGGGTGCACGTGTGCACCCACTATGTGTCACCAGTGAGTTGGTGTGTGCTCTTCCTGGAGGGAGTTAATAGTAAAAAAGTCAGAGGCTGGGCTGGTATGTATGCAAGACAGACAGTCAGTGAAGATGTAAGTTGAGGAGTCAGTGGGTGAGAGAGAGGCTGGGGTTCGGGGGGAATGAATGTAGCTGGTAGATAGTGGAGAGGTACTGGGATGTCATATATTAGGCATGTTATAATGTGTCATAAATCCAGTGTTTAATTTTAGTCCATGACTTTTTGTATCCAGCAGGTTGATGAAGTCAAGTTCGTAGGCTTGTCTGTGAAAAGTGTTTTGTAAATGGTAAATGAGGATTAGAGCTGAGAGCTTGGAGAGGAGAGTGGTTTTCTTGTGAGAAATGTGCCCCCCCACAGGTAGTTGGGTATTCTTGTCTTTGATAATGAATGGACACCAGAAATCTATCATAAACAAGACTACCCAACTACCTGTGAGGAGTATAATAACTTCAGAACTGGTCTAATACATTTTCTAGCTCTGACTTCATAGCTGGGTGGCCGTTTTTACAGCATGATAGATACTTTGCAAGTGTAGCTGGTCTAAATTAATTGTACAGTTAACTCATTAATTGTGTAATTATGTGATGTGTTGAAAGGGCTTTAGTTCTGGGTAGCACAGTAATGTGGGTTTTTTTCCCCCTTAAGTTTTCTCTTTTGAAACATTTGATAACATTATGGAGAGGTTGCTTTTGGCCTTGGTTTTCACAGAATTTGAATTGTGAACCAAATGAAAATTGATTGTGGTCCAGTACACATGATCTTCTAGAGCAGCATTTATCAACCAGTGAGTCATAACCCAAAAGTGGGTCGCAAGAATATTTGAAAGGGTTGCGAGCAGGTTCCCAGAAAAACCCATGAAAGCACAGGTTTCCTCTTGAGGGCTGGCAGCATTCTAGCCTGCAAGCTGCTGCTTGGGATAATTGGAGGCAGTGGGCGCATGTGTGTCTGTGCGGGCAGATGCACGTAACCAGCATAGAGCAAGGCCGGGTCATGGGAACAGCCCCAGCCGCTGAACACAGGTAAGTATGGGGAGTGAGGGGATGGACATCCAGAGGACTCTGTGGAGTCAGGGGGATGTGTGCGTGTGCGTGCCTGCCTGCCAGCCAGCCAGCCAGCTAGTGCTGGGGATAGCGGCCTGGTACAGGGCTGCGCCAGGGCAGGGGGAGTGTCAGGAGAAGATGCTTGGCCCTTCAAGTGGGGAAGGAGGTGGGGATGGTCCTTTGCAGTGGGGAGCTGTGTGTCTGCGCCAGAATGCATACAAGCAGGGGCCCCAACTTGTTGCTTGCACTCTGGCCCAAACAGGATTGGGGCAGCTGGGGGCCCCCTCTGGCAGGGCTGGGGGGAGGGGACTGTGGATCGGGAGTGAGGGACACCAACATTGTCCTGGAGGGCAGGGAGCTGTGGCTTGGGGGTGAGGGACACCCGTAGGGTTGGGGGGTGCAGCAAGGTCAGGGAGCTGTGGCTTGGGGTTGAGGGGCACCAACAGGGCCCCGGGAGGCAAGGGAGAGGACTGTGGGTCGGGCACTGGCAGCGCCAGGTGGTGTGGTTTGGGACAAGCCATCAATCTTGGGAAATGGGTCCTGGTATGAGAAGTTGAGAACCACTGTTCTAGGATAGAACAAATGATTTGGTAATTTGCCTTACTGTTATAAGCCATATGTCAGATAACAGGACTGGCGGTTAGGTATGCAAGTCTCTTTGTGCATATAGTTCAGGGGTGGCCAGTTATTTTGGCTGGAGGGCCACTTAAGGAGTTTTAGAGAGCTGTCACAGGCCAGGTCAACACTCCCCACACCTGCCATGCTGCGTCAGCACCCCCTCACCTGCAACAGCTCACTAAAACTTCCTAAGTGGCCCTGTGTTTGGCTGGGTGGATGAGATGGGGCTGTGGGCAGGAAATGGTATCTGGGAGCAGGATGGGCAGGCAGGACCAGGGCTAGGGTTAGGGTCATGGGGCTGGGGCTGGAGCCTGGGGCAGACTCATGATCCGGTCTCTGTATGTCTCTGTGATGGGCACTGTTTCTGCGGGCAGGGGCATGTGGGGAGCAGATCACGACTCTGTGCCGGGCCCCAGCCCCCTTCTGTCACTACCCTGTAATCCCAGTCCCACCCCTCCTGTCCTGATCCTGGATGCTGCTCCCTGCCTGCCTGTGCCCCCATCCCATCTGCCTAGTCACATACCCTGCCCGTGAGGGTCCCAGATGGTTTGCATGGAGACCCTACCCATCTGCTCTGTTCGGCGCCTCTGGTGGTGGGTGCTGGGGGGACAGGCTGGAGTGCCCAGGCAGCAGGACCAGGTCCAGCAGCCAGGAGCCGGTGCTGCAGGGGCTGCTGGGAAATGGAGTCTGGCTGCCACACCATCCCAGCCCCCTGCGCTATGACCTGAGCTTCCCCTCATACCTGGGCTGGGTGGCCCCCCAAAATGCCTTGTCAGGTTGGACTTGACCCCTGGCCTTATTTTGCCCATCCCTGATTGGGAAGGGTGTATAGCGTAAAAGTACAAGTATAAAGCAGCCACAATAACAGAATATAATGCAGTGTCACAGCCCGGTCAGTCTTGAAAGCATCATGGAGTATGTGAATTTGAGAAGTTTCTTGAAGCTTGTAAGTCTATTTATATGGAATAGTGTGGATAGAGATGACAAAATAGGGGGAATAAGAAGGGAGCTTTGTAAGAGGGAGGCCTTGGAGGGTTTGGATTAGCCTGGAGTTGTGCAAAGTTTCAGGTACAGTGAGCGAGAGTATTTTGAAATGTGAAGTCATATTTCGTGGTTTTAATGCTCTGGTTCCATCATTTGCTATTGCTTTTGAAAGGTTATGTTTGGATCCTGTTTCTTTTTTCAGGAATCTGTGCATTCTCTTTGGTCATGAGTTGATGCACTTCAGGCGAGAGGCAAGGATTTCTTAGGGTGATATCTTTTATTGGACCAACTGTGTATGCACTTCACGTACATTACCCTCTTTTTACAAACAACAGATCTGTCTTGTTT